TAAGGTACAACTCAATTGTAGCGCTTTGGCGCCTTTGACTTGTCCAATTCCATCCGTTCGCCTGGTGGTAATGTTCGACTTTCTCCTCGAGGTGCTTGCGGTTTGAAGGTCCCCTCCACATTCCTGGATGATTGGACCACCCTATGTGCTATAGTATTTTCTGAGTTGCTCCTAACTATGTTTAATTTGCTTTCTTTGTCGATTGCCCATCTTGCAAATCGTTCGGCTGTCATATAGCGCAGGTCAGAGATTCCCCATGCCTCTCGGAGTCTCTCACTGCAGTTTCTCAGGAGGATGATGTACAGAGTCGCATCATCAAACTCAGCCTCGTATTCCAATAGTCGACATTGGTTCCAGTATGCTGAGAACGTTTGTTTTCCTTGTTGGAGTTTTTCTAGCTTTCGTCTTGCTGTCTCTTTGGCGTTGGGGTCTCCAAATTGTTCAAAGAATGTCGCCTTGAACTCTTCGTACGTGACCCATTCCCTCTGTTTCCGTCCATCTTGGAAGGACATAATCCATTGTCCCGCGAGTCCTCTGAGTAGAGATTCCACATATGGAATCTTAATTTCATCATGGTGATCTCCGTATCCCTTAACTGCAAAATATCCCTCGCATTGCGCTAAGAATATTCGTAGCTTATCTTCGGCTCCTTCGTATGTGTCGGGCTCCTTTGCTTTTTATCGTTGAACATTTCCTTGCCCTGTATTTTGCGTGGCTGCAAGAAATGCCTGAAGCTGATTTTCAGTCATTCCAAGTATGCTGGTTCCTGGTGCCGGAGCAGCTGGGGCCGGTGGCCCAGGTACTGCGGATCCCGCCATTCTCTCGGGTCGTGGCGTTCCAGCAGGAGAGCTATCGACTGGTGATCCTTTCTCTGGGGTTACTGGGCTTGCTGCTCTCGAGGGTTCTGCTGAGACATGATCTAGGGCGTCGCTGAATCCTCCTAGATTAAGATTTTGATCGTCGATGTCAATATCTCCTTCCCGGTCTGGGTTGAAGGATGCCGTCTTGTATCGTTTGATGTCGTACTAGGTAACGCTTTGTAATATAACGATCCCTCTTTGGATAGTTAGTGCTTGGCGACAGGGAACGATACTTCTCTTCCTGTCTTTCTTCTTCTCTTTGTCTTACGATAGCTCAAGGCTCCTGCCTACGTTACCGATAGTACAAGACCCTTGTCTTCTACCGGGAACGCCTATCGTAAGCTTTCTCTAACTCTTCTTTGTAAAGCTCCTTCCTTGGCGTAACGATAATGTTGCAATAAAGGTAAAGATCGTAAGGGTGTTTTATCTTCATTAAAGTAATAAGTAGGAAAAGTACTTAGAACAAAGCATGAAGAACCTATCTTCCTCGGCCGCATCGGCCTCCTTATATAGTATTCTTCCCACCTTTAGTCATGTGACCTAAAGTGGTCACATGTGCGAAACTAAATCATAACAAACTAATCATATGACTAAAGTGATCACATGCTCAAAACCCATGACCTCATAGCGAGGTCATGTGCAAAACTTCATAAACCAATCATAACACAATAAACAAGTCATATGACTCGACTGAATCATATCCACGAAACCCATGACATCATAATGAGGTCATGTGCGAAACATAAATCATATGCGCAAGGCTTGCCCATAAGGCACACTCGTAAGGCATACTCGTCAGGCGCATGTCCCATAACTCATACTTGAGCCATGTGCGAAAGCATCACAAATCCTACACATAACTAATCATATAACCCGAATGGGTCATATGCGTGAAACAATAACATACCTGTGACTCATACCCATGTGTAACTTGAAAAACCCTTTCCTCGCTAAGCCACGTTCATGACATACACTCATACCTTTGCAAAAAAATCCTTAAAAACAGCTTAGTCTGAAGCTTCTGCTCTGGCTGTATTGATCTGACAGCTCAGCTTTGACTCCCATTCTGGCCATCTTTTTACGAAATGGTTTTTCCAATAATAGTCAATTTGTATATTGGTACGTGGTATACCAGTTCGATTGCTTAAAATTTGGTCAGCAAGGGTCTTGGCAGTTTGCATAGTAACAGGAAAATTCTCCTCAGCAAGCCTACAGCAGTGCTCCAAAAGATTTGCCTCCTCTTTATCTATATATTTTATACTTCATTAGTTTCCATATTTTAATTCAGTTTAATAAAACAAATACAAAAGTCAATACTTTAAATGAGGTTTTACTTACTTGACAATAACTGTAGTTTCTTACTAGACACTACCTTAGAATTTGTGACTCCAGTAACTTGTTTCAGCAAGGTAGAAATGCATTTGATTCCAAATGCCGCCACAGTTTTTCGATAGGAATCATATTCAGGAGCACTTTGATAGGCTTCAATTGCCCTCTCAAGCTTCTCTTCAAGAAGAACAGTCTTGGAACTGACCATTTTAAATGAAAGCTTGAACACCAGTTCAAGGTACTATAGATAGGAGACTTGACGATTCATGAGGTTTGGAGTTTTAAGTCAGGCTCTACTGTAGTTACTTGGTTGTTAAAAACCTTCTACATGGGGATGTTATCATAAGTGTGTGGTCCAATAGCAGTTGTCTGCCACCCACCTGTATATTTGGGGGGGTGTATATTTTCCTGTTCCGCGATTGTAATCATGGAAAGAGGAAGGGGTACCAAATCGGGTAAATGGTCTGTGCGGAATATTGGCGTTTTGATAGGTCAGCCTTATTATACTCGAGTACTGTTACTCGAGTATGATAAGTTTGCCCGGGTTGATTTGGGGGGGGCTTCACGGGTTCGGGGGTTACTGCGAGTTACTTGGTTCGAGTATCATAATAATATGATACTTGGGTTGGTGCGGAATTGTTGGCTGCCAAGTGTTCGACCATGCATCGGGGCTCTTTCTGAAAGCTTTTTTGTGAATCCTATGCGTGCCGTAACTTATCTATATCCAGTGCACATGCGTTTTGGGAGGCTCGAAGTCCTTGGTAAAACAACCAGTACTGTAGCGGTACTCATACAGGTATGCGGTGTACGAGTACTGAACTGGTACCGTACTGTACTTTCTTGAGGTTTTAGCGGTGCTTACTGTAGCCCCCTCTGTATCGGCTGGCGTATGATACTGTACGTACTATACATCCCGCTTCCCTAGATGCGTTGTGAAAGCAATACCAGCAAGTTAATTAATGAGCCCTCAAGTTGAAGAGAAGCGTACTAGTACTAGTGGTATGATGTGATTAAATTTTTACTTCATTCTCCCGTAGCGGTGAGGTTTCCGTACCATGGGGGTTGGCTTTGATTCATGCGAATTGTCTTTCCACATCTCTCGCTCCATCTCTTCGTCCTTATCTGTCCCCAGAGATTGCACATCCGTTGTCTCCAGGGGGTACCGGTACTCAAATGCTTTTTCGGGTCCATCAAAGTCCTCCCCGCTGCGCGTAGGATTCCTGATTCGCGAGTTAGTCGGATGCTCTTTTACTGCGGCTTTCCTATAAATTTATCGCGTCGGACTGTCACCGGCTTAAAAGCATCAATACCGGTGTTCGGATGTCTGAGACCACACCCCTCAGATTTACACCCCACACCGTCAGGGCCGGTACGAGTGGGCATCCGTGTTGAGTGCCACGGGCCTTCACAATTGGGCCTCTCTGTCCGAGGAAACATGAGCTAGCGCGGCACTCGAGTACCGGTACCGGTAAGGAAAAACCAAGAACCGAGCCAATCCTTGATTTTCAAGACTTTCCTTCTTTTCTTCTCTCCTTCCATTTCTTTCCCCTCTCCCATTTGCCTTTGTCCCCTTGCTCTTGCTTGTTCAGCCTACATGCCGATAGTCTAGCTATCTTGTTCACACCCAACTCGTTCACATACATATTATAAGTTACATGCTCATGCATCCCCGCCCCGTCTGTCGATATCTTTTTTTCCCCTTGAATCTTTTTTTTTTTGGCACATCGGGCTGCTTGAAGGCTTCATTTTCATTTCACCATCCTCCCACGGCAAAGAGGGATAGTGGGAGAGAGAAAGTAAGTACGCGGACGACTGAGAAAGAGAAAGTGGACTGGGTGAGTGAGGGGGCTAACTTTTCTGCTCGAGTATTCGTGTTGGCTCGACCCAGCTACCGGTTTCCTCGCAACCCTTGCCGGTTAGTTAACCTACCGTGCCACCCCACTTGCAGCAGTGGAAAGAGCTGCCCCAGACATCTCGTACGAAATGTCGGACTCTCACCAATCAATAGCTCCATCCCCACCTTCGCAGTTCCCTGCTTTGGATATCGAGACAAACGTTGGTTTTCGCCTCTTCTACCATCATTTTAAAACGAAAATTGCTAATTTGTGTTTGCTTGTTTGCTAGCCACATGACTACTCTGATATCGATTCTGGCTTTGGTGCCTCTATCGCGAGGACGTACGCAACTTTACCCTTTGTCTCGCCAACCAAGTGCTCTCTGCCATGTCGACATGTAGCTAACTGGCTGAACGGGAACTAGTGAGAACAGCTATTCTATGATAGCGGGCTCGGGAATCCATCCCTACGTTTACGAAAATGGACGTCGCTACCAGGTTTATCGTGAAGGGGTATATATGCTGCCCAACGACGCTCAGGAAATTGAGAGATTGGATCACTTTCATCGCATATTTCTCGCCTTGTTGGATGGAAAGCTTTTTATTGCCCCGCTCGGACAAGACGGGCATAGAGTGAGGAACGTATTGGATATCGGGACGGGAACGGGGACCTGGGCAATTGAGATGGCCGAGTATGCTTTCCTGATAAGGCTTGTCTGGTGCAAAACATTTATTACTTTGAACTGACGTGTTGGTCGCAGAGAGTTTCCGGACGCCAAAGTGATGGGGAATGACCTGAGCAAGATACAACCATCATGGTAGATCTATAGTTTCCATTTTGTCCTGCGCCATCACCCGACATCACCCGTATTAGCTAGAGAGACAATCGGGGTGACTATTTTGTCTGGAATGAGGGCAGACGCTAACATGATCCCGCCTGGTTTGCATGGGAGGAATTTGTGTAGGGCCCCTAGGAACTGTGAATTCGAAATCGACGATGTCGAAAGTGACTGGACATATCCCGAAAACCACTTTGACTTCATCCACCTTCGAAGCTTAAGCGGGTGCTTTCAAGACTGGGACATGGTGATAAGGAGATGTTACGAGTAGGTCATCCACTATCCGCCAGGCGCTCTATGTCATCCATCAACCTAACGAATCCCCTCAGTCATACCGCGCCCGGCGGATACATCGAGTTCCAGGACTACGACGGCAACCTCAAATCGGGATTAGGGACCATGCCAGACAACGCCGTCTCGCGGTATTGGGGGGTGGTGTCCGAAGCCGCGTCTTCAACTGGCAGAACCTTCCTAGTGGCCTCGACCATTGAGGAGCGTATCAAAGCAGCTGGGTTTGTCGACGTTACTGTGAAGAAAGAGATGTGGCCGCTAGGACCGTGGCCGAAGGACGAGCGTCTGAAGGAGATTGGTCGTCTAGGGAGAACTGGAATGAGGAGTGCTGTTCATGCTTTCGCCTCGGCGCTGCTCACGAGAGTGCTGGGTTGGGATGAGATGCAGGTGCAGAAGCTGTGCCAGGAGGCGACGCAGGAGGTTAATGACGGGAGTGCGCAGCTTTATGTTACTGCGTGAGTCCCCCCCACCGACCTCCTCCTACACACCAATAGCTAACAGGTTACAGATACTTCGTATGTGGCCGCAAGCCGTTATGACCTCGACACACCGGAGGTATAGGATTGATATCTATCAACCAACAAAACAACTCAGCCACCTACCAAACAAAAAGCCAGATCCAGGTGGCATCTCAGGAGGTTGGGTGGGCGTTTGAGTGTTTTTTTATTTTGTCTGATTTGATTTAGCTCGTTTTGCGTTTCCGTTTCGTTTTAATATATCCGTAGGTAGCTTACTATAGGGTTATTTCGTTTGGTTTAGTTTTATTATTTTATTTGTCTCTTTTTTTCTCCTTTTCGCTTTACTTCATTAATCACTCTTTTTGGACGGACAAACTTGAACTTTAGGTTGTGTAATTAGAGAAAGAAGGTTGGCTAGCATTGTTGAGGGGTATATTGTGTATTTTTGTAGTATGATATGTTGGGCGTGGGAATTTGCGGATCGAGTGATTTTTTTGCGGATGGCATGGTACTTGTATACAAGTATCATACATGTTCTGTCCTTAGAGAGCTGTGTGCCGCACGTTAGCCACGATGAGGAGGCGGACTGCGTAGTGAGGTCTTATCATAAGTGTAGTATAATATGATGTTGTACATTCAGTTATCATGGCACGATAGTTACGTGAACTTTTGTATGGCATGGTGTGTTCTGGCTAGCTCGTGAGCTGACTCTCGACAAGAAATCCTAGGAGTAAACAACATCAAGAGACAAGCTAGAATGTTCCAACCCCATCTCCGCA